CTCTCCCATCAGACGGGGGGCGGGGGAGGGGGTTCCCTGAGGACCTGGCCTGGGCAGCTCTGGCCTTTCTCTGTGCCAGGCCTGGGTGGGATGGGGGACACCAGCCTCCACCGACGGCCTGTCCCTCCCCAGGCCCTTCCCGGACACACCACGCACCTGGTAGGAGAGGAGCCCGTCCCACTCGTGCTGCTGGTCCGCCGTGCTGTACATCCACTTGAGGGCCGCGTCCTTGATGAAGACGGACAGTGCTCGGAGGATGAAGGAGGCGAACAGGTTCAGGTGGATGTAGTTCCGGGTGCAGTGCAGGTGTCTGCGAGAGAAAGCAGGGCCTCTGGCAAGACGGCCCGCAACCCCCGGCTCTCAGGCTAGCACACCCGGGGCACGTTCCGGCTCTGGGCTGCTACTGTTCTCCCTCCGAGCATGCCCGTCTCCCCACAACCTTGACAACCCTTTTGTTTAGTTCAAGTCCAGCCTCTCCATAAGCCTTCGGCTGCGTGGTCACTGCACCCCCACCCCACCCCAATTCTGTCCTCTGTCCGTGGCATCTTCTTATTTACAAAGTCATGTGTGGCCCAAGCGGTGAAGGTGTGAGGACCACTTCCCCCAATGGGGACTTTGCTTCTTGGTGGCAGGGCCACCTTCTTACCTGCCTCGGGGCTGCCATACAGGGCACGTGGTAAGGATTCCCAAAATATTGGGTACAATTTCAATATCCTTTCATGTAAAAACGTGTTACAAACTGGAAATACGAGGGCATTTCTTAACATGAGAAGGGCTATCTACCCAAACCAGGAGCAGACATCATTCTTAACTGAGAAACTTTAGAAGTATTCCCTTTAAAATCAGAAAAAAATAAGGGTCATCTAGACATAAGAAGCTATCATCGCATCTATTCGACCTTGTACGGCAGACCCTAGACACTATAAGAAAAGGGAAAAGTGTGCAAGAACTGGGAAAGCCTTGGTTGGCGTGGCTCATCCCATGCACTGAAGGGTCATGGGTTGGATTCCAAGCCAGGGCACATACCCGGGTTTCAGGTTTGATCCCTGGAGGCAACCAATCAATGTTTCTCTCTCTCCCTTCCTCTCTCTCTAAAACCAGCAAAACCATATACTCGGGTGAGGATTTTTTAAACAAAATAGATTTGAGAATAAAGGAACAAAATTGTTATTATTTATAGATGACAGATTATCTTCATAGAAAATCCAAGACACGTGACACATAAATGATTAGAATTAATAAGAGAGCTCAGCAAGGTGATATGTATGTTCATGTACTTCAGCAACAAACAGTTAAAAAGTAAAATTTAAAAATTCATTTATAATATTTTTAATTGACTAGCTAGAAATAAGTCTAACATAACATGGGCAAGATTGCTAGGAGGAATAAAACTTGCTAAAATCATTATAGAAGATTTAAATTAACTGAAGCTATGCCACATTCACAGACTCACTCTCTTAAAGACGTCCATTCTCCCCGTATTAATCCCAACGGTGTTGGTTTTTAAAAATGAAATTTAAAAACTTCTAAAGAAGAGGCGAGGGCTGAGGTTAGTTCAGAACACAAAGTAGGGGTCCTTGCTACAAGCGAACAGAGATTTTTAATGAATATTTAGTAGCTAAGGCACCACGGTATTGCAAAAGGACAAATGGAGAGACCAACAAACATGACAGAGACCAACCCACCCACCGGTGGCCCTTGCTGCCTGGCAGCACAGGCATTGCAACCGAGGGGGGAGGATGACTGGCAGTAAGTGGTCCTGAGACAATTAACTATATGTATCCATGGGAAAGGGAAATTCATCTTTATTTCCACCAGAGACAAAAGCAAATTCCAGGCCCATCAAAGAACCATAAGGAATGAGCAAAACCCAAGATTTCTCAAACAAGACCATAATGACATTTGGTCTTTGGAAAAAAAGATACATTTTAAATCAAGTGACAAAATTATTTGTTATCTATTGATACATTTTATCAATAAAAACAGAAAATTAATATATTTCATTCCATTAAAATTGACGTCTTCTGTGCATAAAAGGCACCAGAGTGAGTGGGGAAAAAAAGTAATAAACCACAGACTAAGAGAAGACATTTCCTGCATTGGTATCCAGAATATGTAATGAATGCCTAAGATAAAAACGAAAAAGCCAAATAAGCCAATAAAAAGTAAGCGATTCTACGAGCAAGCAATTCACAGAATCAAACATAAAAAACACGGCTCTCTCTGGGAATCAGAGATATGCACATTAAAATCATAATGAGATATTTCAGACACTTTAGATTAGCAACAATTAAGCCTGAGAATACTAAATAGTGGCGAGGGCATTAAGGGAAGGGAACTCTCATTTATTACCGGTGGGAAGGCAAACCGGTGCGATCACTTTGGAAGCGACTTCCCCACACCTGATCAATTTGCAAAAGCACGCGCTGTTCAGACCAGGCGACTGCGCTCGGAGGTATGTGCCCTCAGAGAAGGCACAAGGGGTCATAGGTAAGAGCGTTCACTGTAGCAGGTGTATAATCCAGGAGAGGAAAACTTCAAATGCCCACGAAAAGGACAAGCGGTAAATGAACTGTGCCACACCACACAACGCGGCACACAGCGACAGTTAAAAGGAACGAAGAAGTACCTGTTTCACTGTAAGTGAATCTCACAAAAACACTGTCAGGCCAAAAATAACATTGCGGGAGAATATATGTCCCGCATGGCGTCAAAAGCAGGCAATATTCTAGCTGTATATTTTTACAGATACTTACAAAAGCGGTGAGGATCTAGAGCAGTGGTTCTCAACCTTGGCTGCACATTAGAATCATCTGGGAATCTTTTTAAAATCCTGATTTCTGGGCCTCATCCTCTGGAAATTCTGTTTCTTTGTTACTAATGTTGTGGTCCCACCCCATATCAGATATTTACATGACGATTCATGACAGTAGCAACATTACAGTTAAGAAGCAGCAACGGAAATGATTTTACGGTTGGGTCACAACATGAGGAACTGCATTTAAAGGGCCAGAAGGTTGAGAACCACTGCTTAGGAGAAGACGCTGCTGCCCGTGGTTCTGGTTCGGTGCCCCCGCCTCCATCTGGGGACGGAGAGGGAGTCAGGACGCGGCAGTGCCCCGGGCCCGGCCTCTCACCTGAAGCCCAGGAGGATGGCGGAGGCGATGACCAGGGCGGAGAAGGACAGCGCATAGCCCACCGTGTAGACGACGTAGAGGGACAGGAGCTGGTCCTCCGGGGAGCTCTGTGTGCACACAGGGACACGTGGGCATGGGGTGCCCCAGGACGTCCCTCCCACACCCCTCCTTCCCATGGGACCGTGGGGCCCCCAGAACGGAGAAAGAGAATAACCCAGGGAGATGGTCTCCAGATCCCAGGACCCTGGTCCAAGGCCAGAGGTGAACACGTACCACCTCTGTCCAGGAAGCATGGTGTGCAAAGCTCCCACCCGGAGCGATGGAGGAGACGACCACGGCCCAACCCCCAACACCCCGAGGGCCCAGGGCCCTGCTCCAGCGACGCGGGGACCTGCTACCCCTCGCTGGCTGGGAGCCCCCATCTTCAACTCACCCTGTCCCCGCGCTTGGACTCCTCGCACTCCGACAGGTCCCGCCAGGGCAGGCTGGAGTTGTCCTGGTGCAGCCACAGGCCGTCGGCCGTGCAGAAGCGGTACACGTGGCCCTGCAGCACTGGGCGGGGAAACGGGGCTGAGCCACGGCCTCTCGTCCTCTGGCCCCGGGGCTGCCCACGCCCCCAGGACGGGCCTCTGGGAGTGAGTAACGCCTCACACCCACCCACACGCAGACGCCCGCACACTTGGCCCCCTGCCCTGCCAGGTGCCCACCTGGCCCAAGGACAGGAGAGGCGGTCACGAAGGCAGGGCCACCACCGCCCTCAGCCCCTCCTCCTGGCTGAGCAGCAGGGTGGTGGAGGAAGCCTTGCCTGCAAGGAAATGACTCCAGCCACTGCCAGGCCCCTGTCTCCGCTTCAGTCACACCGCTCCCAGGTCTGCTGTGACCCCGGGGCCCTGGCAGCCCACAGCCACCTGCTGCGGCTTCTGATCCGCAGGCTCAGTGCCCACCTCCCCGCAACACTCCGTGGGCAGAGCAGGCCTGGAAACCAGTGAGCAGGGAGGGGCTGAGAGGAAGCGAGAGACATGGCCCTGTCCTCAGGGAGCCCCCGTCTGAGGGGAGACATGGCCCTGTCCTCAGGGAGCCCCAGTCTGAGGGGAGACATGGCCCTGTCCCCAGGGAGTCCCAGTCTGAGGGGGACACAACCCTGTCCCCAGGGAGCCCCATTGAAGCAGGAAGGAAGCACATTTCCTGGCTTTAATAAGACTCACAGAAAAAAAGCCAAAAATGTGGTCAGAAAGGAAGAGCACAAACGCAAACCAAGAGAGATCACGCACAGGCCCCGGCGAGCGGTGCCGTTCATTCACATCCAGGCATCAGGACCCCGAGTCCGTCCGCCGGCCACGCTACACTGCCCACCTCCCCGGGGACATGCGGGCCCTGCGGCCACAGGTTTGCTCCATGAGAATGAGTCTGACCCCGGGGCAGGAAGTGGGACAAAATGAGGTGGGGGAGGGAAGGGGTGGCACAGGGGGACCCAGGAGAGAAGCTGGAGCCAGGACAAATTTTAAAAGATGTTAAAATCCTAAAGATGTTAAAGCCCCGCTTCCCCAGCCATGGGAGGCAGAGTCGCGTGAGGGGGAGCGCCTAGGCTCCGGGTGGCAGGGCGGGCAGGCTTCCTGGTGGAGGTGGAATAAAGGCCATGTCTGAGGGCGTGGCCAGCCTCCCTGCTGGGGCCCAGGAGGGGCCTAGGCCGGGGCTGTCTGCCCATGCACACCCAGTCTGAGGGGAGACATGGCCCTGTCCTCGGGGAGCCCCAGTCTGAGGGGAGACATGGCCCTGTCCTCGGGGAGCCCCAGTCTGAGGGGAGACATGGCCCTGTCCTCGGGGAGCCCCAGTCTGAGGGGAGACATGGCCCTGTCCTCGGGGAGCCCCAGTCTGAGGGGAGACATGGCCCTGTCCTCGGGGAGCCCCAGTCTGAGGGGAGACATGGCCCTGTCCTCGGGGAGCCCCAGTCTGAGGGGAGACATGGCCCTGTCCTCGGGGAGCCCCAGTCTGAGGGGAGACATGGCCCTGTCCTCGGGGAGCCCCAGTCTGAGGGGAGACATGGCCCTGTCCTCGGGGAGCCCCAGTCTGAGGGGAGACATGGCCCTGTCCTCGGGGAGCCCCAGTCTGAGGGGAGACATGGCCCTGTCCTCGGGGAGCCCCAGTCTGAGGGGAGACATGGCCCTGTCCTCGGGGAGCCCCAGTCTGAGGGGAGACATGGCCCTGTCCTCGGGGAGCCCCAGTCTGAGGGGAGACATGGCCCTGTCCTCGGGGAGCCCCAGTCTGAGGGGAGACATGGCCCTGTCCTCGGGGAGCCCCAGTCTGAGGGGAGACATGGCCCTGTCCTCGGGGAGCCCCAGTCTGAGGGGAGACATGGCCCTGTCCTCGGGGAGCCCCAGTCTGAGGGGAGACATGGCCCTGTCCTCGGGGAGCCCCAGTCTGAGGGGAGACATGGCCCTGTCCTCGGGGAGCCCCAGTCTGAGGGGAGACATGGCCCTGTCCTCGGGGAGCCCCAGTCTGAGGGGAGACATGGCCCTGTCCTCGGGGAGCCCCAGTCTGAGGGGAGACATGGCCCTGTCCTCGGGGAGCCCCAGTCTGAGGGGAGACATGGCCCTGTCCTCGGGGAGCCCCAGTCTGAGGGGAGACATGGCCCTGTCCTCGGGGAGCCCCAGTCTGAGGGGAGACATGGCCCTGTCCTCGGGGAGCCCCAGTCTGAGGGGAGACATGGCCCTGTCCTCGGGGAGCCCCAGTCTGAGGGGAGACATGGCCCTGTCCTCGGGGAGCCCCAGTCTGAGGGGAGACATGGCCCTGTCCTCGGGGAGCCCCAGTCTGAGGGGAGACATGGCCCTGTCCTCGGGGAGCCCCAGTCTGAGGGGAGACATGGCCCTGTCCTCGGGGAGCCCCAGTCTGAGGGGAGACATGGCCCTGTCCTCGGGGAGCCCCAGTCTGAGGGGAGACATGGCCCTGTCCTCGGGGAGCCCCAGTCTGAGGGGAGACATGGCCCTGTCCTCGGGGAGCCCCAGTCTGAGGGGAGACATGGCCCTGTCCTCGGGGAGCCCCAGTCTGAGGGGAGACATGGCCCTGTCCTCGGGGAGCCCCAGTCTGAGGGGAGACATGGCCCTGTCCTCGGGGAGCCCCAGTCTGAGGGGAGACATGGCCCTGTCCTCGGGGAGCCCCAGTCTGAGGGGAGACATGGCCCTGTCCTCGGGGAGCCCCAGTCTGAGGGGAGACATGGCCCTGTCCTCGGGGAGCCCCAGTCTGAGGGGAGACATGGCCCTGTCCTCGGGGAGCCCCAGTCTGAGGGGAGACATGGCCCTGTCCTCGGGGAGCCCCAGTCTGAGGGGAGACATGGCCCTGTCCTCGGGGAGCCCCAGTCTGAGGGGAGACATGGCCCTGTCCTCGGGGAGCCCCAGTCTGAGGGGAGACATGGCCCTGTCCTCGGGGAGCCCCAGTCTGAGGGGAGACATGGCCCTGTCCTCGGGGAGCCCCAGTCTGAGGGGAGACATGGCCCTGTCCTCGGGGAGCCCCAGTCTGAGGGGAGACATGGCCCTGTCCTCGGGGAGCCCCAGTCTGAGGGGAGACATGGCCCTGTCCTCGGGGAGCCCCAGTCTGAGGGGAGACATGGCCCTGTCCTCGGGGAGCCCCAGTCTGAGGGGAGACATGGCCCTGTCCTCGGGGAGCCCCAGTCTGAGGGGAGACATGGCCCTGTCCTCGGGGAGCCCCAGTCTGAGGGGAGACATGGCCCTGTCCTCGGGGAGCCCCAGTCTGAGGGGAGACATGGCCCTGTCCTCGGGGAGCCCCAGTCTGAGGGGAGACATGGCCCTGTCCTCGGGGAGCCCCAGTCTGAGGGGAGACATGGCCCTGTCCTCGGGGAGCCCCAGTCTGAGGGGAGACATGGCCCTGTCCTCGGGGAGCCCCAGTCTGAGGGGAGACATGGCCCTGTCCTCGGGGAGCCCCAGTCTGAGGGGAGACATGGCCCTGTCCTCGGGGAGCCCCAGTCTGAGGGGAGACATGGCCCTGTCCTCGGGGAGCCCCAGTCTGAGGGGAGACATGGCCCTGTCCTCGGGGAGCCCCAGTCTGAGGGGAGACATGGCCCTGTCCTCGGGGAGCCCCAGTCTGAGGGGAGACATGGCCCTGTCCTCGGGGAGCCCCAGTCTGAGGGGAGACATGGCCCTGTCCTCGGGGAGCCCCAGTCTGAGGGGAGACATGGCCCTGTCCTCGGGGAGCCCCAGTCTGAGGGGAGACATGGCCCTGTCCTCGGGGAGCCCCAGTCTGAGGGGAGACATGGCCCTGTCCTCGGGGAGCCCCAGTCTGAGGGGAGACATGGCCCTGTCCTCGGGGAGCCCCAGTCTGAGGGGAGACATGGCCCTGTCCTCGGGGAGCCCCAGTCTGAGGGGAGACATGGCCCTGTCCTCGGGGAGCCCCAGTCTGAGGGGAGACATGGCCCTGTCCTCGGGGAGCCCCAGTCTGAGGGGAGACATGGCCCTGTCCTCGGGGAGCCCCAGTCTGAGGGGAGACATGGCCCTGTCCTCGGGGAGCCCCAGTCTGAGGGGAGACATGGCCCTGTCCTCGGGGAGCCCCAGTCTGAGGGGAGACATGGCCCTGTCCTCGGGGAGCCCCAGTCTGAGGGGAGACATGGCCCTGTCCTCGGGGAGCCCCAGTCTGAGGGGAGACATGGCCCTGTCCTCGGGGAGCCCCAGTCTGAGGGGAGACATGGCCCTGTCCTCGGGGAGCCCCAGTCTGAGGGGAGACATGGCCCTGTCCTCGGGGAGCCCCAGTCTGAGGGGAGACATGGCCCTGTCCTCGGGGAGCCCCAGTCTGAGGGGAGACATGGCCCTGTCCTCGGGGAGCCCCAGTCTGAGGGGAGACATGGCCCTGTCCTCGGGGAGCCCCAGTCTGAGGGGAGACATGGCCCTGTCCTCGGGGAGCCCCAGTCTGAGGGGAGACATGGCCCTGTCCTCGGGGAGCCCCAGTCTGAGGGGAGACATGGCCCTGTCCTCGGGGAGCCCCAGTCTGAGGGGAGACATGGCCCTGTCCTCGGGGAGCCCCAGTCTGAGGGGAGACATGGCCCTGTCCTCGGGGAGCCCCAGTCTGAGGGGAGACATGGCCCTGTCCTCGGGGAGCCCCAGTCTGAGGGGAGACATGGCCCTGTCCTCGGGGAGCCCCAGTCTGAGGGGAGACATGGCCCTGTCCTCGGGGAGCCCCAGTCTGAGGGGAGACATGGCCCTGTCCTCGGGGAGCCCCAGTCTGAGGGGAGACATGGCCCTGTCCTCGGGGAGCCCCAGTCTGAGGGGAGACATGGCCCTGTCCTCGGGGAGCCCCAGTCTGAGGGGAGACATGGCCCTGTCCTCGGGGAGCCCCAGTCTGAGGGGAGACATGGCCCTGTCCTCGGGGAGCCCCAGTCTGAGGGGAGACATGGCCCTGTCCTCGGGGAGCCCCAGTCTGAGGGGAGACATGGCCCTGTCCTCGGGGAGCCCCAGTCTGAGGGGAGACATGGCCCTGTCCTCGGGGAGCCCCAGTCTGAGGGGAGACATGGCCCTGTCCTCGGGGAGCCCCAGTCTGAGGGGAGACAT